TGGCAATTCTTCATGTCCTTGTGGAACTTATTAGAATCTCGCATCCATGTGGCAAGAGACCTCGCGCCACACAGCTGGCGTCTAATATCAGGATAGAGGGGCCAACGCAACAACCTCAAGAACAACTTATGCGAATGCTCCGTGAATCCCATGATCTGATTTATTACCCGGGAAGAAAATGGAATCATCTTGCCTCGTACCTCCACTTCATACACTGCATCTAAACTGGCCTCAAGTTGCCAGTTAGCATAAAACTCCTTAACCATGTTCACGTTCACCGACTCATCGGGATGGAACAAGCTTTCAAAACCCATGTATCTGATGTTGTTGTAAATCCCCGAGTATTTCCTGGCTAGCTTACCATCATCAATGCCAACTTCCGGGTCGGGACTCACCGCCGGAACAAAGGTCCGGTACCACATCCTAGCATAAGCTGGAAAAGCACGAATGCCATACTTGCAGCCTGGCACTACATCCGCATCAGGATCAGTGCGCTCCTATTCCTCCTCCACTGGGGCGGGGGGAGGTGCCTGCCTACCTCCTCGATGGCTACTAGAGGCAACCTCTGAGGTACCTGTGTTAGAACGTTTGCTAGGACGGCAAGACATTGTACCTGCAAAAGACGAACAATATTAGCCATAACACTTAAAACATAAACAGGACCAAATGGGGTAACCACCCCACAATTATGTTATTGGCATGTTCACAAGTATAATGTATATCGGGGACTCCGACTACCCCTTTGAAAGCACACCACGAGTAATCAACAACCTACTCGACCACCAACATAACATTACAACAACATGACCATGGACTACACTAGTGTAAAAGAAAAAATTAAGAAGCTAAACTAGTAATTAGAAAAGAAGAAAAAGAAGTTAGTCTAATTCACTACTAACAAAATTAAGATACAATACAACACTACACAAGTACATAGCATGAATCGGACACCCCATTTAGCACCTAGCAACACATTAGTATGGGGTGGTCAATCAATTAGTACTCGAGGCTAACAAATTATAGTTTCACAACAAACGAACATGACCTCCCACCCCATACTTATCATCTAGCATCATATCCCACAAAGCACATCCCTTCAAAATTAGCAACACTGCACAATTATGTCACTAAAGTATTTCAACAAACATATTGTGGGCATAAATTTCACCTTCTTATTTCAATTNCACCATATCTTTACAATAGCACCAAGTGCATAAATTTTACACAAACTTTGCTAATTTTTGGCCACTTGGGCACCCCCACCGAGCTTCAACACAAATTAATTCCAACCCATCAAAACACGCCAAGAATCACCCATAATCATTAGAACAATGAAAACCCCAAATAGGAGAAAAAATAGCTAAAAGATTAGCACAAAATAAAATACCTAGGGTTAGAGAACTTAAACTAAAATTAACTAAAATCTACAATTAAATACTAAAAAAAAGAGAAGGAGAACTTACCTTGAAATTGGAGAGGTAAAGGTGGGGAGTTGAAGTGGAAGTAAATTGAAGAAAAAGAAAGGGATTTAGGGTGAGAGAGGGAATAATTATGAAAGCAGTAAAATGAAAGAATGGGGAAAAGAAGGAAGGGGGTCTGGGTGTTAGAGTTTCACATTAAGAAAAAAATTAATTTTTTTATTTTTAAATTTGCGCGTCGTTGGGTGCGGCGCGGTAGTGGAGTTTTCCAGAAAGTCGATTCGGATAGATTTTGCCTGTTTGGCCTAGTGCGGCGTCCCATGAGGCGCAGTATGCGGCGCGGTAGGCCACTTTTCTCAGAGTCCCGATTTGTTTTCACTTTTTAGCCTACGGGTCGCACCCTGACTCTATTTTGTACTTATTATGTGTTTGATTCATGCTCATACCTATTCAAACAATTATCAAAACTCCTAAACTCTAATAATCCTAAACTACCATTATCTAACTAGTCTACAAAAGAAATAAAGAGGATTAGAAGTAGTTCTGAGTTATAGTCGTCAGCTTGACTCCATCATTTAGTCTCATTTGATCACGACGCTGGAGGATTACTTGTCAAATCCTCTAACAAGGTACTTTTTAAACTTGTGCACATTCACCTTAAAACTTTCATTCCCTTCTTCATCCTGTATTTCAATGGCGTCATACGGTAAGACGTGTTTCACCACATACGAACCTGTCCATCTTTATTTGAATTTTTCGGGGAACAACCTGAGTCTACTATTGTATAGTAAGAGTCTGTCCCCTTCATGAAACTCCTTTGGCTTAATCAGATGATCATGTCACCTCTTTGTCTTTTCCTTAAAAATTCGCGCATTTTCATGCGCATCCAGTCTAAACTCCTCTAATTCGTTCATCTACGCCAACTTGTGTTTACCTGCAAGACTAAGATCAAGAATAAGCATCTTAATTGCCCAATAAGCTTTATGTTATATCTCAACAGGTAGATGACACAATTTTCCGTATACTAATATGAATGGTGACGTCCCGATGATTGTTTTGAACGCAGTTCTATACTCCTATAGAGCTTCATCCAACTTTGTAGACCAATCCTTACGAGAAGCACTAACCATTTTTTCAAGAATTCGTTTAAGTTAATGGTTAGCCACTTCAACTTGCCCACTAGTTTGGGCATGGTACGGGGTTCCTATTTTCTGTGTGATCCCATACTTGGACAACAGTACAGCAAATTGCTTGTTTACAAAGTGTGACACATTGTCATTGATAATCACTCGAGGCGTTCCAAATCGGGTAAAGATGTTCTTCCGTAAGAACTCACAGACCACCCGAGCATCATTGGTCCTAGTAGGGATTGCTTCAACCCATTTAGATACGTAATCAACAACTACTAGGATATACTCATATGAATAAGATAATGGGAACGGAACCATGAAGTCAATGCCCGAAACGTCAAAAATTTCACATACCAGAATGGAGTGCGATTTCCACCATAGTGTCCTCTAGTTGCTCCATCATGGCAATGAGAAAGAATGATTGCCATCTCTCCTTCGAATCACACCATCTGCACACAATTTAAACAAGAAAGGGTCATTCCAAAAATAACTTTTTACCTCACCTTGAAGCTTCCTTCTTTGATCACGAGAGAGGTCATGCGACAACTATCCACTAGCAAAAACGTTGGCTACATCATCATACCAAGGCGGTCTTTCGGAGACTGCAGCAATGGAGAAAATCTGCTAATTAGGTAACTCTTCTCTTACGTCAACTGTTTCAAACAGAGGTCTCTCAAGTCGAGATAGATGATCAACAACTTGATTTTCTGTGCCCTTCCTATCTTTGATCTCCATGTCAAACTCTTGGAGCAACAACACCCACCGCATCAGACGCGATTTGGACTCCTTCTTACTCAACATGTATTTCAAGGCTGAGTGATCCGTGTGTACAATCACTTTGCTTCCCACCAGGTATGATCTAAACTTGTCAAAAGCAAAGACCACGGCAAAGAACTCTTTCTCAGTAGTGGCATAGTTGACTTGAGCATCATTCAACATCCTGCTTGCATAGTAAATGGGCCTAAACATTTTCTCTTTTCTATGCCCCAGAACTACCCCCACAGCTACATCACTGGCATCACACATTATCTCAAATGGCTAGCTCCAATTAGGTGTCATAATAATAGGAGCACTTACAAGTTTTCTCTTTATCAATTCGAATGCTCTTAAGCACTCCACATTGAAAACAAACTTGACATCCTTCACTAGCAATGCAGTCAACGATTTGGTAATGTTGGAGAAGTTTTTAATGAACATCCTATAGAACACAGCATGTCCCAAGAAACTCCTTATGCTCTTCACCAAAGTTGGTGGAGGGAGTCTAACAATTACATCCACCTTGGCTTTGTCAACTTCAATTCCATGTGCAGTTACTTTGTGGCCCAAGACAATTCCCTCATTCACCATGAAGTGACACTTCTCCCAGTTAAGAAACAAGTGCGTGGCTTCGCAACGTTCAAGCACGAACTCCAAATTCTTCAAGCAGTCCTCAAAGTCATCACCAAATAGGGTGAAATCATCCATGAATACTTCTAGACACTTCCCATTTAAATCAGTTAATATAGACACCATGCACCTCTAAAAAATGGTAGGTGCATTACACACCCCAAACAACATCCTCATGTAAGCGAAAATACCTGACAGGCAAGTGAATGTGGTCTTATCAACATCTTTTGGGGTAACGGGTATCTGATTATAGCCTGAGTACTTATCCAAGAAGCAATAGCATCCATGTCCAGCCACTTTCTCTAGCATTTTATCAATAAAGGGGAGTGGGAAGTGGTCCTTCCTTGTTGCATCATTCAGCCTTCTATAGTCAATGCACATTCTTCGCCCATTGAGTGTTTTTGTGGGGATCAATTCATTATCTTCATTTTTCACTACTGTCATGCCCCCCTTCTTAGGTATAACTTGTACTGGACTAATCCACTGGCTATCAGAGATGGGAAAAATCACTCTCGTATCTAGCAATTTGATGATCTCCTTGTTCACTACCTCCTCCAAATTTTTGTTGAGCTTTCATTGGGGCTGCACCACTGGCTTGCTATTTTCTTCCAATAGAATTTTGTGCATGCAAATAGTTGCACTGATTCCTTGAATATCAGCTATACTCCAGCCAATGGCCTTCTTGTCTTTTTTTAGCAGCTCCACCAGCTTTCGCTCCTGTGTACCTGTCAAGTCAGCAGAAATAATCACATAAAAATTGTTAGTTTCAAGAAAAGAATATTTTAAGTGAGTGAGGTAGGACTTTCAATTCCACATTAGGCTTAGAAGCCTCCTCTTTTGGTTTCTCCTCATCAACTACTTGATCCTCAGTTTCAAGAGCTTCATCTTTTTTCTTTATTTCAGAATCTTCATCCTCCACTGTGCTAGACTGGGTAATACACCTCTCTAGAGTATCCCCCACAAGCTTGTCAAACTTGTATTTTTCAGCCAATTCTCCAATAACATCCAGCTTGAAACACGAGTAGGTGGACGCCTCATCACTGGGATATTTCATCGTCCTTTTCATCTAGAACACCACTTTTTCGTTGCCCACTCTGAGCATAAGCTGCCCCTCATAGATATCAAGGATAACTCTGCCTGTACATAAGAATAGTCTCCCTAGAATTAGAGGCACCGCCTTGTTCACCTCCATATCCACCACAATAAAGTCCACTGGGAACACAAACTTGTCCACCCGCACTAGAATATCCTCAATGATTCCCTCAGGTAGAATGGTGGTTTGATTAGCCAGATGCAGGGACACTGGTATTAATCTGATTACTCCGAGCTCAACTTCCAGTTTCCTGAATATAGACAGAGGCATTAGATTTATCGACGCACCAAAATCATAAAGGGCCTTGTCGAATTTTTCACTCCCCAAAGAGCATGGTATGGTGAAGCTACCTGGGTCCCCACACTTTTGGGGAATTGTATTTTGTAATATGGCATTGTAGTGGGTATTTAGCTTGACCACTGTTGTTTCCTCTAATTTTCTATTGCTAGAAAGAATTTCCTTCATGAACTTTGCACAGGCCGTCATCTAAGTGAGTATCTCTGTGAAGGGAATATTTACATAAAGCTGCTTGAGCATCTCCATGAATCTTCCAAAACATTTGTCAAGTTTCTCCCACTTCATCTTTTGAGGGAATGGTAGAGCTTGCATATGTCTACTTTGTTCAATCTCTTTTTGTACCCCACTACTCTGACCTTTCTGCTCTTCACCTTTTTTCTCTGCTGGTGTCTCTACCTTTTTGTTCACCATCTCGGATCTAGCTTTCACCACTGGATCAGCCAAGGTTTTGCCACTTCTCAGAGATACAACTTTGATTGTTTCATTTGGGTTCTTTTCAATGTCAGAGGGCAAAGTTTTAGGAGCCCTCTCACATAACAAATTGGCAATCTGTCCCAATTTTCTTTCTAAATTACGGATGGACGTGCCCTACTCTCTAATGGTTGTGCCCTAAGTCTCAAATTTTTCATCTGATTTATTTATGAATGCCTTCATGAGGTCTTCCATACTAGACTGATTTGACTATTGTGGCTAGTATTGCTGTCTCTGTTGGTTCTGAAAACCTGGTGGTCCTTACCCTGGGGTCCCAGATTATTTTGCTACCATGAATTCAAGCTCCCACTAGGTGAACTCCACAAAAAACTTGGATGTCTTTGACCCATAGCATTATAGTTGTTCCCACCTTGGTAGTTTCTTCTATTAAAATTCCCCACTGGGTTGACTTCCTTAGCTAATGCTTGACACTTATGTATAGGGTGTCCCAATCCACAAAAGTCACATGTTGTTTGCGGCTCATTCTGTACCTTGGCCAATGTCAGCTTTTTTATCTTCTTCTGTCATTACTCTCAGTTGGCCACTGATTAGCATCCTCAGATAATTCATCAAGGATTAAGACAACCTCCTCCGGTGTTTTCTTCATTAGTGGACCTCCACCTGCAGTATTCAGAGTTCATCGCTAGGACGGTGTCAGTCCATCCCAAAAATCCCGGAGTTGCATCCACAAATCGATTCCATTATGCTGCTACTTTCTGACTATCTCCTTGCATCGTTCCCAAGCTTCAAAAACCGTTTGTCTCCTTCTGGCAAAAATTGTGGATTTTTCTTCTCAACTTCCCTATTTTTTGCAGCTGAGAAGTACTTGTCAAGAAACTTCTTGGCCATATCTTCCCATGTCCTGATAGAACCTGCGGGTAAGCTACGAAGCCATTTCTTCGCATCATCTTTCAATAAAAAGGAGAATGCCCTTAAATAGACTGCATCCTTTGATACTCCATTGTATTGGAAGGTGTTCACGATATCTTCAAAGTCCATCAAGCGAGTATTAGGATCTTCATTCACCTTCCCTCTGAAAGTGCAGTTGTTTTGGATAGTTTGAAGCAAGCCTTGCTTCAATTCGAAGTTGTTTGCTGATAAGTGGGGATTTTGACTACTTATTAGCTCCTTTTAGCTTTTGTTTTAGCCAAAAGCCTTTAATTGTGTTCCCAAAAACTGATAAAATATGCTTAATTGCAGGAATATTGGAAAATGAGCCTCAAAGATGAAATCCTACTCAAGAAGGAGTGATCTGAATTTAAGGACAAAAACAGACACATAAGCTTAAAATGAGGACCGCAGAATATCATATGCGGCCGCAGATTATGCAGAAGAACTTATCAGAGATCTGTGAGAAGTGCGACCGTAGAAGCTAGGAAAGAGCAAAAGTTCAGAGAACCTGTCAACGGAATTGCGAACTGCACAATTATTGTGCGGCCGCAGAAGATCAGCTATGCGGCCGCAGTTGCATTTGTGCGGTCCGCAAAAGAGCCATGTGCAGCCGCACTCAGAAATGTGCGGATTGCAGAAAGAGAGAGATGCGGCCGCTGTTCAGAATTGTGCAGCCGCAAGATTCCAATCCTGTCAAGTTGAAGCAAAAGTGCAGATCGCACATGGAATTATGCGGCCGCAGAACCTCCGAAAGGGCATTTTTGTCCGAAAATTCCAGCTCTGTATAAATAGAAGAGTTTCACTTTTTTAGGTGAAGTTTTGACATCAGCAGATACAGTAGCCGTTTTTCATTACTTTCTTTGGTAGTTTTTGCCATTTTGAGCTTTTTGAACATAGATTTCTTTATTTTAATTATCAATATGGGTTTAATTATCATTTCTTCTTCTATTTCTTCTGTCTTAAGTATGAGTAGCTAGATTTTCACTAGGGTTGTGACCCAACCCTAGTATGTGAACTTAATGGGTGTTTGATTTATTGCTTATTTTTGGTTGGGTGTTGATTATCTAGCCTAGTTCTTGCTTTAATTTGAAGAATTAATGGTTGCAAATATTATTTTATGCCTATTTGACTTGGTCTCTATAAGAGAAAGAGAGATTTAGTCTAGGACAATTTGGCTAGCAAGAAATTGGGTCAATCGAGAGATTGATAAGCCCAATTAAAGGGTTGAACCTAGAGATATTAAAACTTGACTTGAGCTTATTATCAACTATTTTGTTCAATACCCATTTGGACTTGAGAAAGCAAAATTGGGCAAAATCACTCTTTGACCGAGAGGTATCGAGTGAGTACTTGAGTGTTGATATCTATAATATATCCCGATCAATAAAACAAGCTTTAAGGCTTACAACCTATTAAGCGAACACCTAGGTGAAGGTCATAGCCCTATGTCTTTTTATAATTTGAAAAACTACAAAAACAATTTCTTAGTTTCATTACTTAATCTTGCAATCTTAAATTGGAATAGACATAGAACAAGCATCAATTTGTGGAAGTGTAATTTGAGATAGTTCATACTCATACACTGCATTTTATACTCCTAAATCCCACGTATAGCTCCCTATGGAATTCGACCCCGACTCCATGTTGGGTATTACTATTGCAATCGACTGTTTCATAACCTCGAATTGAGGTGTGAACTTCGACGAGATCAATTTTTGGCGCCGTTGCCGGGGAGCATAAAAACAGATTTAGCTATATATTTGGTTTTGTGTGTGAATTGTCTTCTTTTCCTTCCTTGTTATTGATTTGTGTGAATTAACTTTAGGTACCATAATGGAAAACAACAACGATCAACTCGGAAACATGCCTTTGGGGAATGTGGACGTTGAAGATGACCAAGTTGAAGAGGTTCCTCTTGAACCTCAAGAAAATAGAAGAGTCCGGGCACCTCAAGACAACGTCCAGTTCCACCTCCACCTCCACCAAGAGCAGCTCAACACCGAGTGTTGACAAATGAAGGGAATGAAAGTGCCATTGTCCCGCCCTGCATTAGGGCAGGCAACTTTCAAATCACGAATGTAATGATCACATTGTTAGAGCAACGGGGATTCTTCACTGGAGCTCTGAGTCAAAATGCATACAAACACTTGAAGGGGTTTGTGGATACTTGTTGGGGGAGTAAATAGACAAACGTCTCTGAGGATGCTTTAAGGTTGAGGCTATTTCCTTTCTCTCTACGGGGGAAAGCCTTGGATTGGTTAGAAAGATTGCCAAATCACTCCATCCATACATGGGATGAATTGGCGGAGAAATTTATTTCCAAGTTCTTAGAGACGAGATTCTAGCAATCAAACAAGAGCCCAATGAGCCGTTGCATAAAATATGGGAGAGGTACCGAACTATGGTAAAAGAGTGCCCAAATAATGACATGACGAAGGCTATGATTCAACAAACTTTATATCGAGGGATCAATACTACCAATCAGTGCGTGGTTAATGAACTTGTCGGTGGAAATTTCATGACAACGCTGTATGCCGAAGTTTGTGAGGTTTTAGATGAAATGGCGGATACTTCTTCGGCATAGCAAAGTAGAGAAAATATTCCTCAAGGTGATCCGAACGTGATTCACCTACATAAAGAGTTGTATTACCATGGGCAAGCCATTACAAAGTTGACCACTATAATGAATCAATTAGCAAAAGCTCAACTTCAAAAAGTGCAAAACCCGAGGAAAGTCAATGCCATGGAGGGAGTTAGTATGATGGTGAACAAAAAAAGGCCCGAAGGTCCACAAGTTCAAAACCGAGTGGAGAATTATGTGCAAGAAGATAGTGGGTTTGATCAAGATGAATCTTACAATGAACAAGAGGAGGAGGTGTAATATGTGAACAACTTTCAAGGGAAAAGAAACAACTCTCAAGGCTCGAATTAACAACAATGGCGACCTCAAGGTAATCAAGGGAATTAGAATTCTAACAACCAAGGTAATTGGAATGGTGGCAACAATCAAGGGAATTGTAATAGTAACAATACTCAAGGAAATTGGAGTGGTGGTAATAACCAAGGCAATTGAAGTGGCAATAATCAAGGATATTGGGGAGGCAACAACCAAGGGGGATGGAATAATAATCAAGGCAATCGGGGGTCAGGTTTTCAAAGGCCCCCGATGTATCAACAACCGAGCAACCCGCCTCCTTATCTTTCCCATGGTCCAAATTCTTCCAACAATGACATGGACGAATTGAGAACATGTTTAAGCAAATGATGGAGAAAAATGCCGACTTTGATGCCCAACTTGCCTATCACAATATATCTATCCAAAACTTGAAAGTCCAAATGGGACAAATCTCTCAAGCCCTAAACACTCGTCCTAAGAGGGCACTACCATGTGACACGGTGGTGAATCCAAAGGGTGGAAACAATACGGGACATGCCATGGACATTACTACAAGGAGTAGAAAAGGTGGGGATGCACCCACCTCGAATCAATGGAAGCTTGTAGATGATGAGCAAGTGGTTCAAGAAGATGAGATCCCGGACAATGTGGTGAAAGCAAATGAGGAAGTGCGGATTGATATTGATGATAATGAGGAGGAAGCTCAAGAGTAAGTGACCCCGTCTAGGGATCACATCATTGACATACCGGAACCGGTAGTGCAAAAGGATAAGGAACCAATGCCTAGGCCTCCTCCTCCATATCCTCAAAGGCTGGCCAAGCAAAATGGCGAGAATCAATTCAAAAAGTTCATTGACATGATGAAAAGCCTATCTATCAATGTGCCATTGGTTGATGCCTTGGAGCAAATGCCCGGTTATGCAAAGTTTAT